GCAGAAGGAAAAATAGAAATTAAAGAATCCAGTGATGACCTCCTGAAAGAGATCCCAAAATGAAAACCACCAGGGATATTATAGCAGAATTCCAGAGCTCCCAGAGAAATGAAAATATTGTAAACAACCAGAAAGAAACAATTCAAGTATCACGGAGGTACAATCAGGATAACACAAGATTTAGCAGCTTCTATATTAAAGGATCAGAGTGCTTAGAATATGATATTCTGGAGGCAAAGGATCTAGGATTACAACCAAAAATCAACTATCCAGAAAAACTGAGTATAATTTTTCTTGGGCAAAAGGTTTATTCAATGAAATAGAAGAATTTCAAGCATTCATGATTAAAAAACAAGTCCTGAAGAGAAAATCTGATTTTCAAATACAAGACTCAAAGGAACCATAAAAAGGTAAACAAGAAAGGGAAAATCTAAGGGAATTAATAAGGTTAAACTGTTTACATTCCAACATGGGAAGATGGTACTTGTAATTTATAATGACTTAATCACTATTAAGTCAGTTAGGAGGAGTACACACACACACACACACACACACACACACACACACACATATACAGAGTGTAAAGATGTGAGTTAAATATGATGGGATGATATCTAAAAATAAAATTAAGGACTGAGAAAAAGTAATACACGGGAAAAATAAAAAGGGAGAGGTAGAATAGGGTACATTATCTCACATAAAAGAGGTAAGAAAGTGCTTTTACAGTGGAGGAGAAGATGGGGAATGTGGTGGGGAAAGCTTCAACCTTACTCTCATCAGAATTGGCTGAAAGAGGAAATGACATCCACACTCAATTAAGTTTATCTTACCCTACAGAAAAGTAAAGAGGGGAAAGGGATAAGAGAAGGAGCAGGTTTTCATAGAAGTGAGGGCAGATTGGGAAGGGTGATAGAAGAAAAAAAAAACTTTGAGGAGGGATAGGGTAAAAGAAGTGCAACAACAGAATAAACAGAAGGAAAACAGGATGGAGGGAAAAGATTTAGCCATCTTAACTATGAAAAAAAAATGAATCAAGTTTCTCTGATAAAGCCCTCATCTCTCAAATATAGAGAGATAAGTCAAATTAATAAAAAAAAGTCATTTCCAAATTGACAAATGATTAAAAAAAAACATGAACAATCACTTTTTTTTCAGATGAAGTAATCAAAGCTATCTACAGCTCTATGAAAAATTCTCTAAATCGCTATTGATTGAAGAAATGCAAATTGAAACAATTTTGACATACTACCTCATGCCTATAAGATTGTCTAATAGGATAGAAAAGAAAAATGAAAAATATAGGAGGGGATGTGGGAAAGTTGAAACACTATGTATTGTGGAATTATGGAGTTATGAGTTATAGAGTGGAGTTATGAACCAATTCAACCATTATGTAAAGCAATTTGGAAGTATACCCAAAGGATATTTAAAAAAAAAAAGAAAAATGATCCATATATACAAAAATATATGTAAGAAACTTTTGTATAAAAGATTTGAAAATTGGGGGGAAGCCCATCAACTTGGGAATGGCTGAACAAGTTGTGGTATGTGATTGGGATGGAATAGTGTTGTGTTGTAAGAAATGATGACCTACTCTCAGAAAAACCTAGAAAGACTTGTATGAATGGATGCAAAGTGAAATGAGTAGAAGCAGGAGAACATTGTGCACAGTAACAGCCATATGGTAAGTTGACCAACTGGCATGACTTTGCTATTCTCAACAATACAAAGAACAAAGACAAATCTGAAGGGCTCATGATGGAAAATGCTATCCATCCCCAGAGAAAGAACTGAAGACAAAGTCCGAATACAGATTAAGGCATACTTTTTAAACTTTTCTTAATTTTTCTTGGGATTTTATTTTGATCTACGTTTTCTTTTACAATATCACAAATATGGAAATACGTTTTGTCTAACTACATATGTATAGCCTTTATTAAATTGCTTATCTTTTCAATGAGGGGAATGAGGGGGGAGAAAGAAAATTTGGAAGTCAATTTTAAAAATGAATGTTGAAAATTACATTTTCATGTAATTAGGGAAAAATAAAATACTAAAAATATAAAAATAGCCTCATATCTCTTTTCATTTAGTAATTCAAATGAAATCATATTTTACTGCTCTTCCAATGCTAGTCTATTCCCCATGCTCTAGGATTCATGTGCTAGAGGCTTTTGACTTTTAAGATATATGTGAAATATTAAATATAATATAAATTACATTCTATGACAAGTATTATTCAATTTGAAAAATTAATACAAGTATTGTTAGTAAATCCATTTTCTATATTTCTACAGAGCTGCTCAGGAAAAAAAACAAACAGAAACTATTTTAATGTATTCATAAATTCATGATGTATGGATAATTTTTCATGTTTTCTAAATTCTCTAGCAAATTAACCATTCAAGAGACTAGAATCCTGAGCCTGTAGTTGTCATTTGTAGCAACTTTGAAGGAACCACGTAAAGCCTTTTAATAGCCATGGCTCTGTAACAAAATAATAATTTCTCTTGAAAATGTCTCTACTGGTTTTTCCTTTGGACTCATTTTTTTTCCTTCACTCTACAATTAAGATTTTTAAGTCTGACACAACTCCAGAGACATTGAATTGAAGGACCACGTGGACTGTCCCTGTTTGCTGTGCAGATTCCTCAAAGGGTTTAATTAAAGGCAAAAGAGTTTTAAGAATACAGTATTAGAATGATTCACAGACATGACGTGGTTCTTTTGTTGAATATGGATTCAGTCCTCCTTTGTCGATATAAATGGCCATTGACTCACACGGAATCAACTTTACCATCTAAGGAAATGCAATTGATTGGGAAAATACTGATGTGAGGGAATTGAGAGAAAAATTTGGAAAGAGTCCTATGTAGACCTTTTCAGCTGAAATAAATTACCATGGACTTTTCTGTCTCTGTAGTGACAACAGAGTGAATGGTGGTGAATGGCATTTTCATTGCCCTAAGCTGCCCTCTTTCGCCATCAAATCAAAATCCACGACTTGGAACATTTGGCTTTCTGGAGAGGTAATATATTAATAAGTCATTCACATGTCTGATTCTATCTCAAACTGTGCTATGCATTAAGATTATAAAGTAGGTGCTTACCTAAGCTTAATGAGTGTTTTTCACTTAATTCAGTGTCAAATGGGAAGGCATCATGTTATCAAAATAAAGAATTAAACCACTTAACAAAAATCCCTGGTGGCAGTCTTAACACATGCATTTTCTTTTTAAATTTCTTTAAGTAGTTACAGACATAAATGAAGAAATTAGATGATCCAGCTGATTATTTTGAGATATGAAGTACATGAGGAACTTTATGGAATTATCCATTGTGAAGTGATATCTTTGCAAAGAGACTAGAAAAATATAAATACGAGGCTTAAGAAAGTGTTCAGAAAATGCCATATGCTATTGATATCAGAAGAGTGTTTTAGGGATCTGGTTTTGGCTATTAATGAGACAAGAGCTTCAGAAAAACTATTAAAGTAAAAATAAATGCCTGATATCTTTCACTTTTTGCCTCTACATTGAAATGCCTGATGAACATGAGATGATAATGATAACAACATAACAATAATTATTTTGTAGCATATATGTTGTGTGTGTGTGTGTGTGTGTGTGTGTGTATATATATATATATATATATATATATATATATATATATATATATATATAATGCCTAGTATTTTCTAGTTCTATAATAGTTCCCTTTAATTAAAAAAAAATAAAACACTTTCAACTTAGGTCACAGTAAACTTATATTTAGGAAAGTGTCAATAATAGTGTAAAGTGATATCTTTTAATGGATTACTTGCATTTTAATAAGTGTATTATGGAGAAAAAAATCTTTAGTGTCACAATGGAACAAATCACAATTGATTGAATAACACAAGATGCTGTTATTATGTGGGTATTTAGTGATGGAAAGTCATTTGGATAACTCACAGATGATTTAAGGAAAGTATTTAATTACTTTAAAAATACAAATATGGTCATGTAGGTGATCAGGAACCTTGAATCAGTCTTACATTTCTGTGCCTTAGCCTCTTTTCCACTTGAATCACTACCAATTATTTTCTTCTTTTATGACAACAAACTAGGGTATTGAAATGGAAGTGTCTTGTGAATTTTACAAGAGCACGGATACCTCAATTTAACTGGGTGAATTTCCAAAAAGAAATTAAAATACTTATGTCATTGGAAATTGGGAAATTTATTGCCAGGCAGTCACCCCAGAGGACACCAGTAAAAGGTCCTTTATACAGCAAAATATTCAAGTACATTTTGTAGCAAGAAACACTAAAAACAATATGTGTCCATTTATTGGGGAATATACAAATATTAAAGAGCATGTCTATGTTGTTAGAAAATATGCATATCAGGAATTTAGAGACACATTAGAATTTTTATGAATTTAAAGCCGAGTAAAATCAGGAAAAAATGGAAAATTATCTCTATAACATTGAAAATGATATGAATAGAAAGAACAATTGAAATGTAATGTAATTACAGTGATCAAATTTGTTCCAAGAAATACTTGAGAAAGTCTGGTTTCTTCTATTTATTACAAAGACAAACTTTGACTAAGGCTTATTTCATATACTTTCAGGTGAAGAAGGGTTATTGAGAAATAAAAGTGATATGAAAAGAGAGTTAATAAAATGTTTACATTTCATCATTTCTTTATAGGTAAAATTTTTGACTGCTGAAACTACAGAAGAATTAAATGTCTTTATACATAAAATTGAATTTTGCAAATAGATTGTCCATCATTTCTTCTTTGCCCTCCTCCCTGCAAAAGCTCTGTAAAGCAGATAATGTTTCAGTATTGTGACTAGTATTTTGGTGAGGAAACTGATATCCATGAACTTAAGCAGATTGTCCAGTGAAAGGGTCAAATGTGTGAACTGAAGGCTGTGCTAACTACAAGTCTGGTGCTATATCCAATATACAGTTACTCTCCCACCCTACCACCCCACCTAAAAAAAAAAAAGCATGGAAAATAGGAACAATGTCACTGAGTTTGTCCTCCGGGGGCTAACCCAAAATCCTAAGGTACAAAAAACACTATTTGTTGTATTCTTTATTATCTACATTTCAACTATGGTTGGAAACATTCTGATTATCATTACTGTCATTAGAAGTAAGAGCTTGAGGTCCCCTATGTACTTCTTTCTTGCCTTCTTGTCTTTTATGGATGCTCTCTATTCCACTGTCATTGTCCCTAAAATGACCCTAGATATGCTCCATGAAAAGGCAACCATTTCTTTCCAAGCTTGCATGGTGCAGCTCTTCTTGGAACACCTATTTGGTGGGGCTGAAGTTTTCCTCCTTGTTTTTATGGCTTATGATCGTTATATAGCCATCTGTAAACCTTTGCATTACTTAGGTATTATGAGATGGCGTGTATGTGTTCTGCTTTTGGTGGCATCCTGGATTGGAGGTTTCATGCATTCATTACTCCAGCTCCTTTTTGTAGTTAGCCTCCCATTTTGTGGACCCAATATCATCGATCACTTTGCTTGTGACATGTACCCTTTATTGGAACTTTCCTGTACAGATACCTATATAATTGGGATCTCAGTGGTGGCCAATGGGGGGTTAATGTGCACAATTATCTTTTTGCTACTGCTTATCTCCTATGGGGTCATTCTACACTCTTTAAAAGCTCAAAGTCTTGCAGGTCGACAAAAAGCCCTTTCTACTTGCATCTCCCACATCACAGTTGTTGTCTTCTTCTTTGTCCCTTGTATTTTCCTGTATGACAGGCCTGTCTATACCTTCCCTATTGATAAATCTCTAAGTGTCTTTTATACTATCATCACTCCTTTGTTGAATCCTTTGATCTACACCCTGAGAAACATAGAGATGAAAAATGCCATGAGGGAGATTTGGAAATGAAATGTGATGTCCAGCTGTAAAGTAATGGATGTCCTGGCTAAGCAATGATGTTTCACAAAAGAAGTGATAGAACATTGTCAAATTCCTAGAACTTTGTTTTGTGAGGCTGAGAAATAAGATTCTGAATAAGTAAAAAAAAAATATAAATTTTAGGTCGTTAACATTAGGAAGTGCATTTTTGTTCTTTTTGTTAGAACTATTTCTTTTGTTAGAACTATGTCTTTTAGATTATGATGGGTTTAATGAAAAATGTGATCCGTGTCCAGATAGATAGATAGACTCTGACGGCAGATTGAAGAATTTTTTTCTCGTTATTTTTTTTCTTCTTTTTTCTGTAACATGTCATGTAGAAACATTTTGCATAACTTCATATGTATAAAACACTTTGCATCTCTTGTCTTTTCAATCAGTTAAGGAGGGTATACATGGAGGGAGATAATTTGGAACTAAAAATAAAATTTTTAAAAGCGCATCATGGTTCATAAGGAAAATATCACTTCACTTTGTGACACTTGTAAGAGCTATTAGCTCATCCAACAAAGATGCAAAGATAGTGCTGTGGATAATGGTCACATATGTTTAATGATGGCTAGTGATATGCCATGTGATTTATTTGTGGTGTGGCTGTGGATATTCTACAGAAGAAATAATCAATTCCTCTGTTAACTTCAAGTTATTATTGCTCTGTTTTTTTGATATGAATAAACCAATTTCACACATAATATTTAATTTAATCATCCTAAAACTCCATCTCAAAGATTATAATGTGATCTAAATGTGGGAATATAGGCATATTTTGTTTTTAAGTGGGAAAAAATTTTTATTGCATATGTATATAATAAACATGCCAAAAAAGATGTGACTTGAACTTTTAAATTCAAATAACATGTTCAAATTGTTTTGAACAATAATATAAAATAATACCATCAATAATTATATCATAAATTTTTGTTTATTAACTTTTTCAAAAAGAAAGTTAGAGTGTATTGTCAATAGAGTTTTGGAGCTGTAGTACTGAAGAACTAGCCTTATGTCACCTCTGACTCTTTAAGAATTATTTAATTTCTATTAACCTTTGTAATTATTGTTATTATGATGAATAGTGACAAAAATAACCTAATTATATTTTTTCCTTTGGATTCTAGTAAAAAACTTTTCCAGACAAGATGTTGTGAGGGTATTTTTGTTTGTTTGTTTGCTTCAATTTATATTCAATGTCCTATAGATTATGGTACAGCTGTAATTTCATATAACAGATTTTTTTGAGTTGTTTAATAAAATTTGTGAATGCAAATCCAACCCAATAATAATCTCAATGAAGTCAACTTCAGTACAACTCCAAAATCAGCAAGGACAACAGGAAAGTTTCTATAAATTGTAGTATTTCCCATAAATTTTAATCCTATTGTCCAGGTTTCTATATTTGGAAAACTGTTTAATATTGCTTTAACATTATGAGTATTTGAGGTGTAAATATGTATTTGAAGTTTGATGTTAACCATTTTTTTTGATCGAAGTTACATCTGAGTGATTGTGCTCAACAATTAATTTCATTTCAAGCCATTAGACACTTCTTCCAAGAATCTTGAGATCTCAATTTGTACTCTGTGTATTTGTCAGTTTCTGTTGCATATTCCAGGCCACCAAAACAGTTCTAAATAGGTATTTCCTAGGTGCTATTTTTAAAGTGTTCTGTGATATGCTTCACTGTTTCCAAAATGCCCTTCAATGATTTTCATTGATTACCAAGTGTAGATACCAGAAGAGATGGAATTATATTTTGTTGTTATTCTCTCTTGTTCCAACAATGTATAAATAGACTTGGGATTTGACCAGATGATGATGATGATGGTAGTGATGGTGGTGGTGGTGGAATTGAGTATAATATTGGTTATATTCATATATCACTCACTTAATGGTAAGGCAGCGATTACACTAATCAAATAGTGATGTAGATAAATAGGAAAAGGGTACTTAATTCTTAGATTTTTTTTTTCTTGAGGCCAAAAAAGTGGTTCCTCAATAAGTATAGGAGGAAGTTAATTTCTTTCTCATCAACTGTGTCATGTTCCTTGACAGATACCTTTCCCCAGGACTATTTTCCTGAAATCATTTCTTTATGTGCATCATGATTTTTCAGGAAATTGTCTGTTTAGTTTGAATAGGGGCCATATTTAAAGGAAAAATGACTCTGTTTAACCAAAGTGTATACTGTGAATAACATTGTTCAAATGGGGATGGATTCAATCAAAAGGATTTATCATTTATATGATTTATTTCTGTATGATTAGCATGTGTTCTGGGAAAGAATTCATGGAGAGATACAGATAATAGATGATAGGTAAATAGAGTGAAAAGTCACACATAGATATATATGTAATGTTTATTGATGAAACAGTTACTGCTATAAGTTCTACATATACATCTACTTCATATATAATGTTGGCCTATGTGATTCTATAACAAATTAACATCAGATGCTACAATGTTCTATAACTTCCATGTGAAAGGATATTATGTTTTGAATAGTGAATGTCTTTGGGGGAAAATGTGATACATAGATATAGGTATCGATATAGATATAGGTATCAATATAGACCTGTGTATAATATATTAAATGATATACATAAATAAAAGCTGTGTGTGATCTGAATTTTAGTAAGTTAAATATTATTTTCAAATTTTCAGTACTAAATAATAATAATAACTTATAATAATACTAATTTTGTTATTTCGTGAGATTGTCCTTTCTTCAAAGAAAAATGCATCCAATCACAATACTATTTTGTGTTATTTTTCAAGTCTTTTTGTAAATGATTCATACATGATCGTTTCAACATTATGGAGACTTTACTCTCATTTTCCAATATGTGGAGTTTATTCCTGTCATAATTGGGAATTATATCTATTGTCCTTGTTTCATGGATATTCAGCCTCTTTTTTCCTGTTACCCATGTCCTTGTTTCTTTTTTCATTTCTTCACTTATCACATGAAATTCATATTTGTAAAATGCTCCACCCACCTTTCATCTCTCCATTTTTATTTGGACAACCTTCCTTCTTGATTGTTTTCAAGTGGTGTTGTTCCAACATTCATAGTCCTGGAGAATTACATGATGGATATTAATATTAAAGTAATAGTCTTCTTGGACTGAAAAAGCCTTGGGCTAGTTAAAAGCACTGTGAAACTTACTAAATGAAATTTAGCTTGTTCTTCTCTTTCTTCAATCTGGTTCTAACTCATCACTAATCTTAAGTCCTGGTTCAGGATCTCACTTTTTATCATTTCTATCTTTATCTCTATCTATTGATTGATGAATTGAGAAATGATAAGCAGTATGGGATAATGGTCTCTGCTTTCCCATTGTTCAATTCCAATGTACATGTATGTATTGTGTATATATACACAATACATACATATATGCATATTCTATATGTGTGTATAAATGTGTGTGTTCCATAGTACCTTCTTTGTGGGTTCTATGGTTCTGTGAATGGATTCATTTGTTTTACTTGCATATCATCCTTCTGACTCATCCTGACATTACAATTTACTGAAAGTCCCAGATTTACCCATATTCACATTTGTCTAACCACTTTTAGTCCAACCCACACCAATCACAGTTCCATCAAGCTATACTCATGCCATATTGTCATATGTGAAATCTTCCTCTCTGTCTATTCCTAGACAATTTCTCCCTCTAGCTCTGAGATAAGAAATCACAATGGCACTAACCTTACTGACAATATCATTACAATTATTTGCCCTATGATTCCACTAACTTTCTTTGGGACATCCCACCCAAAACATCTCTGCCTGGCCATAACTCTCCCCATTATGCTGTCTTCCCCTATTAGAACATAAACTCTTTTAAGTCAAGGATTATGTTACTCTTTATATTTATGCTTCTAGTGTCTATTTTGATTTCTGAAACATAATAAGTGCTTATTAAATGATTTATTATTCATTCATTATGCATCCATCTTATCCACTTGAATTTTTTTTAGGCCAAATACAGTAAATGCTCCACCAGACACCCTGGCCAACTGACTCTGTGGGTGGCATGACATCTCCCATCTCTATGCTATAACATAATCTTTCCTAAGTGCCTAGACTAATAGCCTCTTAAGGTTGATCTCTTAGAATTCATAGCTCTATTCAAATCTGAAATTAAATACTACCTCCCATGGGAAGATAAATGACATGGGTGATATAGGTAGATAAATTAAAAAAAAATAGATGGAGAAGCTGGTGAAAAGAGGCAGACAGACAAATCGAGAGATAGATATAGGTATAGCTGTAGTTAGTAAGTATGAGCATACAGCTATAATTGTAGAGAAAAAAGATATTTTGAATCTTTCCATCTCTATCTATCTATGGAGTATGTGTATACACACATACATATATGTCCATATATCATAAACTCAGGAATACAGGTATGTGGTAGAGCATATCTGCATATAATGGTATTTTTTTCCATAATAAAGGTGTTTTGGGGAGATTTTCATTTAACATTCACTTTATAATATATTTTGTGAATCATTTCCCTTCTCTTACTTTGCTTTCCCTTCCTTCCTTTCTCATTTTCTTTTTTTTCTTTCCTCCTTCTCATTTTTTTTCTTTCTTATTCCTTTTGCTTTTGCAATCACCTTCCCTGAGTCTTGTGGTTCATAATCTGACTGATTAAAGCACTTTCAGGCTTTCCTTAACAGGGAGAAGCTTTCTTGTCCAAGCACCCAAAAGATAGCTCCTTGGAATAGCTGGAAGGTAACTCTTTTGCTAGAGGAGAGAGAAACTATACAATCTTGTGTCAAAGAGAGCAATGCCAAGTGTCAACCACAGATAAGCAGAGTACCTCAAGGGAGAGATGATGAAAATAGTAAAGCACTGTCCAACAGAAACTCTATGACTGATGGAGAGTGCATGTCTAGTTGATACAGCAAACGTTACTTAGAAGAGAAAATACTGAATGGGCCTAGAAGATTCTTTGTTACATATC